AAGAGCAGAGCAGAAATAAAACCGAACGATAAAAGCAAATAAGTTGTTCCAGAAATTTAAACTAGATTAATGCTTTATGTTTTTCGCTTCAAAAAAAAACAAAATAAAAAGAAGTTCAAAATAAAATACTTATCATTTAATAAATCGCTGTATCTAATCGACTGTTAAAAGAGCTTTGGTTAGACCAATCTTAAAACAATTAAAAAAGAAGCCATTTCATCAGAATTCTAAACTGCCTAATCGCATTAAAAAATATTACAAATAACTGCCCAGAAAACCGTTCTGTATGCCGTCGTCTATGGTGCTCTTTTGCTTGTCTTTTTGTTTCAGACTTTTTACTGCCTGTAGAACAGCTTAAAAATTGGACTAATTTGCCTCATTAGGCACTAATTTATCGGTTGGCTAAGTTTAAGTTGGTCATCTAAATCACTAGAAAGTTTTTGCTTTCCTTTACCGCTAAGCAATTATCAGGTTGATGTCAACAGAAACTTTGTATAATTGGAGCATTTATTACCTCAGATATGATACACTGTCCTTGGATTCATCCTGATCTTCTTCACCTTTCCGTCCTTTTTCAATTGTTCAACACTGCAGCATCCAATACAATCCTTAACCGCTTATGATAACAAACAAAAAAATTGAAAAAAAGAACACCAAAACACCAACTATTGATCAATATTCATGTATTGATATTTAACACCATTAATATTAAAAAAGCTTCAATTTATAGTTGACGAAAAAAAAAAAAGAATCATAAACTAAATTCAATATGAATAGAATAACAATTCTTACGGAGCAAATAAATGTCAACAAAAAAATTCTTTTTTTCTTCATCTAATTTTCCAAGTAACACAGTCAGTTTATAGATCAGTTTTCTGCAGCAGTCGCAAATTTGTATACTCAACAGTCATATATCTGCTTTCATAATTCCTATCATCCTCCCTTCCCTTCTCTTCCCCTCTCCAACCCGTCATTGTCATCTGAGTGTTTTGAGCGAAAAAAAAACCAGAACTTTTGTTTCAGTTCATTCTGTAAATTCAAACAAACCGAAAAGCATATCACAAAGAAAACGGTAGAAGCAAGAAAAAAAGAAATAAAACTTGGCTCATCAAAGCGTAATTTTGAATACTATTTGGTCGATACTACCAGAAAAAGAAAAAAAAAAGGAAAACAAATACTCTATAATTTATTCTGGAAAGTAGTGGTGTTTTTTTTTTCTGATTTATTTTCATACCAAATTTTTTATTGTCCCGATCAAAAATGGAATTTTTTCTTTCAATAAACTAAATACTCGACCGATTGAAGCGCACAAATACGATGCTTTATATACAATATGCAAAAAAAATTCATATTTATTTGATGCTCCTATCGAATAAGTTAAATTAAGTGTTTATAAAATATTTCATATTGCAGAAAAAAGTCTTTGCTTTCAACGTTAAACGAATTTATTGCAGCTCTTCGCTCATCAGTTTTCTATCGTTTATCAAAAGGTTTTTTTTTCTATCTGTAACTTTCACATCTCTTTACTGTGTAACAAAAGTAAATGTAAATATATTAGTTACTTTTTTTTTCTGTCAAGTTTCTAAACTATTTGTCAAAATGTTTTGCAACACTTCAATCTCTTCAGTGATCTTTGTTAATGAAGCAGCAGAGGAAAACAGTTATGTCACATGCCAGCAGAATTTCAAGGTTAAGTTTTCAAAATGTTTCCCAAAAGCTGGTTTCCTTTTTGCAGTCATGAAAATAAAAGCCAAAAAAAACACACACACACACAAAATAAGAGGTAATTAAATAAATAAATAAACAACACATATAAACAGTTTTGGGTAGCTGTTTTACAGTTTTTGATCCACCAAACCAGCCGGCTTCCAGTGGTTTCAAGACAAAAAACTAACAGCAAATTTGTATGCGATTAAGCCGAAGATTGGATGCTTAACTGAACAGTCGATAAATGATGTAAATCAAGGAGAAAAAATTGTCAGGTAAACTTGTTTCCAACAAAACAATTTTACCAGCTACTAGAATTAATCTAATGATTAACAATACAGACACTTAAAAAGTGTTAATTATACCATCAAGCTTTGCCAGTAGACAGACTGAAAGTAATTTCAATATGAAGTATTATTTTCAGCTCTGCAACCATTCAAAAAAAAAACACTTAAATACGTAAGTAGTGCTATGGCTTTGGTAATTATCCGTATTAAAAAGCATCCAAAGATGATACATAACCTGTGGAGTGCAAAACCAAACTGCAACTTTTGAAGACCGTTCATAAAGTTGCCAGAATTTAGTTCTATTAATTATACAACATTGCGACAAAATATTGACCAATTTTTGACGTCGAGAAAAAAATTTGATAACAGAATTATTCTTTATCAAATCAGAACAGCAAGGAAGAACAACGATTCAAAGAGTATCGATAATTAATATTAGCAAAACAACAATTATAGATAAAAAAAAAAAGTTTTTTTTTTTCTTTTCTGCTTATACAGCTCTGTTTGGCTAACAAATTATTAGCTGTAATTTGTCTGTAAGTTACATCAAACAGTTTCTGCAGAAGGATTTTTATTCTAAAAATTATAAAAAGAAAAAAAAATTTATACTTTTGAAGCAACCATTACGACAACAACAAAAAGTATCTTATTGTTGTTGAATAAAACTAGAAAAAACAAAGCAAATTTTTCTTTTTTTCACTCTGCGCTGAATGCTTAGCAAAAATAGTGTTCAAACATAGATTGCTTTAGTTTATATTTGTTCTACGT